CATAATTCTAGAAAAAGATGCTTAACGTCACTCGTCATTAGGAAAGTTCAGTTCAAAATGCATGTAACACGTATTTTGAAGGGTGTTATCAAAAAACCAGAACATAGGTGTGACAAGGATGTGGAGAAATGGGAATGTTAAGTGGTAAGCTGTAGTAGAGAACTGTTCTCAGAAAAGTTAAACAGAGGTGTGTATGAGACCGGGAAATTTAAAAAGAACAGAGGTTTCTCGTAGTTCTGCGGTCTGGGAAGCCCAGGCTCCAGGTGTGGCAGACTCGGTGTCTGCTGAGGGCCATTCTCTGCTCCATCCTCATACAAGGGAAGGGACAGAGGAGCAAACAGGAGCCAGCTAGTTCCCTCAAGCCTTTTCTAAGGGCACTGACTCAGTTCTCAGTGGTAGAGTTCTCCTGACCTAAGCTAAAGGCCTCTACCTCATTCAGAGTTTCAGCATATGAAATCTGGGGGACATTCAGACCGTAGCACACAAGATCTAGCAATTTCGCTTCTGGGTATATACCCCAAAGAACGGAAGATTTGAAGAGATGTGCCCCCTGAACTCTGTAGCAGCAGCATTCATAATACCCAACGGGTGGGATCAAACAGATGAATGGATGTGGCCTGTGTGTACAGTGGAATGTTATTTGTCCATAAAAAGACATTCCAGCACATGCCACAGCATGGATAGATCTTGACAACTAACTTGCTAAGATGTGCTAGACACAAATAGACAAGTCTCGTAGGATTCCAACTAGAATCGTGGTTACCAGGGTCTGGGATGAGGGAATTGGGGAGTTATTGTTCTTTCTTTTTTTTTTTAGAGACAGTCTCAGTTTGTCACCCTCCGTAGAGTGCTGTGTTGGCACTGCTCACAGCAACCTCCAACTCTTGGGCTTAAAGCAGTTCTCTTGCCTCAGCCTCCTGAGTAGCTGGGACTATAGGTGCCTGCCACAACACCTGGCTATTTTTTTGTTGCAGTTTGGCCAGGGCTGGGTTCGAACCTGCCACCCTTGGTATGTGGGGCCGGCGCCCTACTCACTGTCACAGGTGCAGCCTGTGGGGAGTTATTTTTCAATGGGTACAGAGTTTCAGTTTGTGCAGTGATTAAAAACGTGGGTTCACAGTGACAACACTGTGAAGGTAATTGGTGCTCCTGAATCATACACTTAAAAATGATAAATTTTATGTATATTTTGCTCAGTAAATGGTGAAAAAGGAAGAGTTTCGATGTCAACCAATGTTGACAACCCTTCCCTAAAAAAAAAAAAAGGTAAATGTTAAACATCAGACATAGCGGTTCCTGTGGCTCAAGAAGTAGGGCACCAGCCTCATATATCGGAGGTGGCGGGTTCAAACCTGGCACTGGCCAAAATAAAAAAATGCAAAAAAAAACCAAAGTCATACATGGCAGGGAAGCAACTAGGTTTCCTAATAGGCCCCTTACAACAAGAGGACACAGGAGATGCCCTCATGCTGCAGGCAAAGCACAACAGTCAAGGCTCTGGGGGAAGACTACAGATAGCCACAAGTTTAAAAGAAAGTTTGTTTTTTTCCCCAAGACCCTGCCTGGGTAGAGTGCTCTGGCATCACAGCTCACAGCAACTTCGAACTCCTGGATTCAGGGATACACCTGCCTCAGCAGCTGGCATTACAGGCACCTGCCAGGAAGCCTAGCTAGTTTTTCTATTAGTAGAGATGGGTCTCTCTCTTGTTCAGGCTGGTCTAGAACTCCTGAGTTCAAGCAATCCACCCGCCTCGGCCTCCCATGGTGCTGAGATTACAGGCAGGAGCCACGGCCCAGCTCTGAAAGTTCTTTGTTCTACCCTATTAGGGTGGTTAAGAGGCAGAGCAATCTGGGTGAGGATTAGCTCCCTCTGGCTGCTGAAAACAACTTAACAGTCATAGTTCTTTTCCTTCCCTGTAAAATGACTGAGTAGAAATGATAAAATTAACAATAGTTCAAAAGATAGGATATTTGTATCCTGATTTTTTTTTTTTTTTGAGACAGAGCCTCAAGCTGTCCCCCTGGGTAGAGTGCCGTAGCATCACAACTCACAGCAACCTCCAACTCCTGGGCTCAAGCGAGTCTCCTGCCTCAGCCTCCCAAGTAGCTGGGACCACAGACGCCTGCCACAACGCCTGGCTGTTTTTCTTAGTTGCAGCCATCATTGTTGTTTGGTGGGCCCGGGCTGGATTTGAACCTGCCACCTTAGGTGTATGTGGCTGGCGCCTTAGCCCCTTGGAGCCACAGGTGCTGAGCCTGTATTCTGATTTTTCTGTGCAGTTCTTTCTTTCCAGAACACCTTCACAGATTAGCAGGTAATACAATATTTTGGATAACTTGCAGACCTCATTTTCATCCAGGACATTCCAAAATATCTTTACCTGGTTTTTTTTTTTGAGACAGTCTCAATTTGTCGCCCTCAGAGTGCTGTGACTTCACAGCTCACAGCAACCTTAAAGTCTAGGGCTCAAGTGATTCTCTTGCCTTAGCCTCCCAAGTAGCTGGGACTGCAGGCGCCTGCCACAGCACCCAGCTATTTTAGAGATGAGTCTTGCTCTGGTGGAGGCTGGTCTCCAACCCCTGAGCTCAGGCAATTCACCAGCCTTGGCCTCCCAGAGTGCTAGGATTACAGGCATGAACCACCGAGCCCAGCCTCCTGATCTTAGTATGTATTTTGCATCTTAAGATTCTGAAGTCCACTGCTGGGTGGAATAATAATTAGAAATTGCTTACTACTATTTTAGATTACATTCTAACTTAATCTTCATAACAATCAGGTACTGTTGTTTGCATTTCACAGATGAGGAAGATACACGTTCACCCAGCTATACACAGAAGAGCCTGGCTTCATACTTACAGAGTCAGAAGGGAACAGGCTGGGGGTCTACCAAGTCTGGCAGGTAGCTTAGGTCCCGTCCCGGGATGGATGCCCACCCATTCTTGCAGAAGAGCCCAGTTTCCGAGACTTGTGCTGGTGTATTTCTGTGATGTGTGTTAGCAATGCCATTGCCAGATAGAAACTTGGTGCCGAGGGCTATTTCCCTCAGTAGAAGGGATGTGCTGGGATGTGTAAACCTCATCCTAGGCTCCCTGAATTTCAGTATTTTCCACAAGGACAAATATTTGGCTTTATTTTCATCTTTGCCCAGTTCCCCTTTAAGTGACTGGTTTTAGTGTCCAATGATGTCTACAGGGGAATCTAAGGCGATGGTCTCACGGTGTTCAGCCTGACCTGCAGGCCACGTGAGGATTAATGTGAGGACTTTTTTGCTTATCTGTGGTGTTGGATATCATGGAAAATATGCACACTTTTTGTTTATCGCTTTTGTGTATTTTTTTTTTGAGCCTCATTTTATCACCCTCAGTAGAGTACTGTGGCATCACAGCTCACAGCAACCTCCAACTCTTGGGCTTAGGCAATTCTCTTGCCTCAGCCTCCCAAGTAGCTGGGACTACAGGCACCCGCCACAATGCCTGGCTATTTTGTTTGTTGCCATTTTGCTGGGGCCAGGTTCAAACCTGCCACCCTGGGTATATGGGGCCGGCACCCTCCCCACTGAGCCGCAGGCACCGCCCACGTTTATTTTACGTGTGGCTCCAGACAACTCTTCTTCCAATGTGCAGCAGAGATAAAAGGTCAGAGACTCTAGTCCAGCATGTCTTTAGATTGACTGTGATGAAGTTTACATTACTGCTCTCGCAGAGCTTAGCTGTGTGCCAGGAGGCAGTGGCTCACGCCTGTAATCCCAGCATTCTGGGAAGCCAAGGGTATGGATTGCTTGAGCTCACAAGCTGCTCCCAGCCCGAACAAGAGTTGAGACCCAGTCTCTAAAAAATAGCTAAGTGCTGTGGTATGCACCTGTAGTCCCAGCTACCAGGGAGGCTTAGGCAAGACAATTGCTTTGAGCCCAAGAGTTTGGGGTTGCTGTGAGCTGTAACACATGGCACTCTACCCAGGGTGACAGTGAGACTCTGTCTCAAAAAAAGAAAAATAAGAGAAAATACATTCTCAGCTATTTAGGATCTTGGTTTTAAAACACATCTACAATGGTCCCCTCAAGTTCTTTAACTTGACCGTGCATCAAGGTTTCTTAAAACACAGATATCTGCTCCATTTCCCAGCCCCCAGTTTGATTCAGGTTGTCTGCAACAGAGCTAGGTAATGTGATGCCGTTCTGGTGACTGCACTGAGAACCACTGCTTTGTGTCTTCCCAGGGATAATAATGGTCCCACTGATGACAAGAATTCAATTTTTATCAATTTATTAAATCAATATATTTCTGTAACCCACACTAGCCACTGCCTGAGTGAGGCTCAGCACTGCTGCGACTGTGTTGATAAAGCAGACATGTTCTGCGTACCCTACTGGTGTGGATAAAATCAACCTTGTCAGTACCTTTTGGCATTTTGAAACTTAAAATTCTAAAAAGTTGAGGTTTGGGCCTACAGTTTGCTATTTAAGAGACCAGGTCCGGTCTTGACAGTAAAGCCACCGTCAAAAGCTGCGTTGAGAACTTCATCCAGGCAGCTGGCTGTGACGAAACTTAAGTCCTGCCGCACGTTGCCCGGGATCCCTTCCAGGTCTTTTTCATTTCTCCGCGGAATGATGACCTGCTTCAGCCCTGCTCTGTGTGCTGCCAAAACTTTGTCTTTAATTCCACCTACCTAAAGGAGAGAAGGGGGTTTTGAGGTTAATGATCACCCTTAAGGTGAAAGAAACCCCAACCTACCTTTTATTCAATCACCACTATTTTAAAACAGCGAAACCATCTTCCATTTTATTACAGTGTGAGCTAGAAAAGCCACTGCAAAGGTTAATAATTACCTCAAATGTTTAATGTTTCAATTAAATCCTTTTAAAGGGAGGGAATTTCACATTTGTGATAGGTGTGAGTACTTCTGCCAGTGAGTCCTTTTTAAAATACTGTCAGAGTTACCATTTATATTCCCTCCTGTAATCACAACATCTGTGCTTAGGCTGGTTCTGATAAAGCATCACCCTGTTTGACGGCTCCTGCAGAGACTGAGCTGTGTGCTGGGATTATTTCCTTCTCTACAGGGT